CCCCCCCCCCCCTCTCCCCCCTCCTGTGCTCCGTCCCCTCCATCCTCACCCACGGATTTGTAGAGCTCCGCCTGACCTCTTTCGTTGGCGGCCTTAAGCTCCGCGCCGTGTTTTGTTTGGACAAGGGACCGTCTATGCTTCCTCTTGAGTTTGCTGTCGCTGCCCGCCCTCACGGCGGCACTGCTCCACACTTCGTGGCCCGCCTTAAGGTGCCTTGCCTTCCTCTGGTGGACGAGTGTCTCCTCTTCCGCCCGATTGGTTAGCGGCGGTAGTCCACACGCCTTGCGAATTCGCCTAACAACCTCGCGGTACCCTCCGGGGAAGCACCGCTTTAGGAGAGCAAGTTGGGCTCTGCCCACGTGACTGATGTAGAAGTCGCTGCGCTTGGACACCATGGCCGCGACACTCCCATTGAAGCTCTCGAGTGCGTTGGTCCCGATGACGAGGCAGAATGAGAAGGCCCGGAGGCAGGCGGTATTAACCAGGACCTGTTCTGCGCAAGCGGGGCACTTGCGTTTGGTGGACATGTTCACCCCAGCCTCGTTGGCGCACGGTGAGAAAAACGTCCATGGCCCACTCTCTCGCCATGCCATGTGCCTCAAAGTGCCCCTGACAGCCGCGCGACAACATGGGCGGGCAGCAAACACACTTGAGTTCGACACAAGCGAAAAAATTAAAGTGGACGGGTGGTCCCAATATAGCGACCGCACCCTCCTGCGTTGCTGCACAGCGCCATGTTGCACCCATTCTTCTTTGATCCTGGCCTGCTTATATAATAAGGTATACCAATAGGTGACACTCTCTCGTGTCGAGTACACCATTCAACTGGTTCTTTTGTGGCGTGAAAAAAACTCACGTGTTGCCTTGCCCGAGAAGCGAAGATACCACCATGATGCGCAAGCCGGTCATGACGAAGACTGCCGTTTCTTCCTTCGCTACTTGAACGACTGCCTCCACGTATCGCACCATCAACGCCTACAGAAAAATGATCGGCCACGGGGTTGTTGGTGACGACAGATATTCCATGTACAATTGTATAGGCTATCGGACATGGGCACTGTAAAAATTTATGAAGCATACACCTTAAACGGAACATGCCTATCAGAAGCGACCATGCGGGCAGGCACATGACATTGAAACCCATGTGCGTGCTCGGGACGCAGCCAGTACGTCGCCCCTCTGCACCTATTGTCCTGCATGTGTCCACACCGGAGTCTCACCTTGATACGTGTGGTGAGAACAAGAGCAGCGGGCGCATGCACCATTTCTTCTCGCTTGCACCCGGGCTCAGATATGAAGATGTAACCAAGCTCCTCCGGCAATCGCAAGCTGGGAGTTGGAATGCTCTGCTTCTGGCGCTGTACCTTGCTCTTGATTTTCTGACAGTCAACCTTTCAACGAGGACGAGACGGCAAAGTTTGTCAGAAATTCTGATCAGCCTGAACGACGCGGTTGGCGGCCCAAAACGAAGATTTGCGATGCACACAACAGGTCATCTTACCGTCAATTCAAGAACCCCGTCATCCACTGCCTCGAGCGTATCGTCGACGACCTGCCGGCCCTCGAGACATACGGTCTCGACAAGGTGAATCGCCTCCAGCAGCCGACCGAACGCCGCCGAAACCCCAGCCTCTGGCGAATCCTCAGCGGCCGGAGAAGTCCCAGCCGCTGCCGAAGCCCCAGCCCCTGCCAAAGTCCCAGCCTCTGCCGAAGCCCCAGACTCTGCTGGCCCCCGGTCGAAAGCATCATTCCTAGCCTGCCTAGTTTGCTGGAAGGCGTGGTGGAACGTCTCCTTCTTCCTGACATACAGCACCTTGCAAACTTCTAGTGTCTTCAAGAGACTGGGTACGGTCTGCGCCGACTTGACGCAGTCTCCGAGGGTAACCTTGGGGGCACCCTTGCTTGATACCCCGGCTACCCCCCCACCCTGCGGACTCTCGTCGAGTGTCACATCACCTTTTACACCTGCCCCCCCTGACTCTACTAAGCCGGCGTGCAGGGCGTCGTCATCGTCGGACTCCTCGCTGCTTCCCTCCCCCGCCTCATCGCGACCGGCCCTCTCCTCGCCCTGTTCACCCCCAATCTCCCTCTCGTTGTCGCCCGCTCCACCCCCTCCAGCCCCCGTGGCCTCCTCGAAGAAGTCAACCCCTTCGGAAGGGGTGTTCAAAAGCATCTCGCCATCGGGGTCGTCCCGGGGCATCACGTACTTGTCGGAGCCGAGGCACTCCTCCGAGACGAAGTCACGATTACCTGTAGCATGTCAGTGGAGGAAATTACATCACCAAGTGACACGCTTAATCGACAGAGGAGATACAGGTATTACTCTCCTCCCCACCAACGAAACTCGAGGCAACACAAGGTGACCCACGGGCGACCCTATCGCTGACCTTGCAGGTGGAACGGAAGGTGGCAGAAAAACTCAATGAAGGTCTCCGCCCACAGCCACGCGTCCCTGTCGCCCCCTGCATCCAGCCACTTCTGACGGGCACGCACGACAGCGTTGGCGAAGATCGCACCGCTCGGTCACCGTTTCCCTTCGCCAACTTGTCGATGTTCTTCTTCAAGTTTTTCTGCCTGGAGAACACCAGCCAAAGCAGCAACAACGGGGGTGGGTGGGGGGGGCGCCAGCATACAGGTTCAAAAGATTAGTCGTCGCCCGGTCAAGC